TAAGCTTTTCACAAAAAGCTTTGCTTTTTTCTTTTGTTCAGTTAGGATAATAAAAATTCATTGTATGCATTGTTAGAAAGATTTTAGGGAAACAAATGGTACAATAAGCTATAATTATGTACAGGTTTTTTGTTTGTTGAGATGTACTCAGTGGCTCTTGCTTTGTAAGTCTCTTGGAACATGAGTTAAGTACAAAGCACTTAGAATCCCTTGTTGGGCCTCATGCTGTGGATTTATGGCAATAGTAGAGTGAAATGAAAGCAAAGTAGAAAGCAGTGAATTTTTATGTCTCTGTTCTTTGAGGAGAACAAAACTATCAAGAACATTCTCTTCATGTGATATGTATTATTTAAACATAGTGCTGATTAATATTTCACTTTAGGAAATGTGAGTTAGCCCATAGTTGTTAATTCAACTGTTAAAATTGTTGTTCATTAACTATGGTTTTTTTTAAAAAATAAGAAAATTCTTTATGCATCTAGGCATCATTTAAAAAATGGAAAAGTCTGATCATTATATTATCATATGATAATAAACATGCCAGAGATTTGATCACTATTAAAAAGTCTATAATGATTATATTAATTTCTGCATTGCTTAGAATGTTCTTGTAATGCTGTGATTTTTAAAATAATGTCATGTAAATTTCTGATTAATTAGAAATGTGCAATATTTAAAATGCAGAATTGTTTGAACTTATGACCCACTGGGGCACTTGATTAGGAAAGAAAAACCAAATTTAAGAATAGTCATAAAAAAACCCCTAGATATACTGATCTCGTGAACAGCTACAGATGTGATATTTTATAATACCGAGTGATGTCACACAAGCAACTCTTGGAAATCATATGCTGTAACATTCAGTCAATGTTGCAAGTCCACATGTTTTTAGGGTTACAATATATTGCTGCAAGATTTACATAATAACTTTTACAACACAGCACTGTTTTGTAGTCCCCAAACTGAAAAGAAATTATTTCCAATCCAGTTTTGCTTATATCTTTTTTATCTGCCAAATCATAAACAATGTTTCTTGCTATTACATTAGAAAACTGTGTATTTTCCCATGTAAAACTATAATTAATAGTACTTGGCAGAATAATACAAACCTTATTGTAGCATTCTTATTGCATCCCTGAGTGCCCCAGTGTCTGTTTTATTTATAAAATTTGCAATTTATTTTTACAGCATAAACAAATTCATAACATCTTCAAGTCTACATCATAATGTCAGTTTGGATCATCTGAAAGAAAATGTTTCATTTTGTACATTTCCAAAAGTGATGTTTTCAGAAAGAACATTTTCTGCTTTAAAGGACACAAATACATAGTGTGTTTCCAGTTAGTAGAGTTTTTTAAGATGAAAAAAAAACTATCTGGTTTCCATATGTACTTATCCTCAATCCATTTCCTCATTAAAGTATTTACATTCAAGTCAAGTTTTAGACACATTTAGTTTTAATATAATCCTGGGTTTGACCCACTCAACAGGAGACTCCATTGTTCCAGGATGATAACATTTCCTAACTATTCTAGTTGTGTTCCAGGAGAGAGTTAATTTCTTGCAAATAAACATGATTGCACATCTGATTCCTGCCCATTTCATAGGAACATATGCCAAATTTGTAATTTGTTTAGCACTTTGGGAGTTGATTGAATCGTTTTTGCTCAGCGTGAAATTGGCACAGCATCTGTGATTGCCCAGCAGGCTAATCATTGAAAGGTGAGTCTAAGTTGAATGAATGAGGCAAGGTGTGAATTTTGGCAGTATCACGTTCAGAATGGGATGATTAAGACAAATGAGTCTATTACTGCACTATGATTTTAAAAGAAGCTTTTCTGTACTCATGCCAATGTTTCTAGTTTCTTTAGAACTGTTTCAGAAAGTAACCAATAATGAATTCTTTTATATGTTTGACTATTGATTTTTGTATTCAGGTAATCTTTGAGTTACAACAGTCCATTTAGTGACCATTCAAAATTAGAATGGCACTGAAAAAAGTGACATGACCATTTTTCACATAACTCTTGCAGCCCCCCATGGTCATCTGATCAAAATACAGACACTTGGCAACTGAATCATATTTATGATAGTTGCAGTGTCCTGGGATTATGTGATCACATTTTGCCACCTTCTGACAAGCAAAGCCAATGGGGAAATCAGGAGATTCAGGCAGTTCAAATGAGTATAAAGATTTACTGCAAGCTTATGCTCTCCACAAGAATCTGAATTACTAATGGTCAAAAGAAATAAGAAGGAGTTAAGAAGAAATTCAAGGTAGGCTGGACCTAGATCTCTTGTGGGTGTACAGGGACTCATGACTGATGATGCGTTTGAGCCCTTCCTCGGGCTCATCCTGGTCATCTCCTACAAAAGGTTGTAAAATGGAACAAAACTCACTTAACAAATGTCTCACTTAGTAACAGCAATTTTGGGTTCAACTGTGGTTGTAAGTCGAGGACTACCTGCATATGTCTGAAATATAAATAGCATCATAAGCAGATCGCTCTGCTCTATCATCCAGCAGAAATGGATTCTGGCACATTTCAGTTGTCAGATTGTTTTGTAATATAAGTATAGCTATAGAAAGAAAGAATGTAACTTCATCTCATTGAAATAATTGAATCACAAGAGGCTTACAAAAATGCAAGTATGTTTTGCTATGTGTAAATTTATTGTATTCAATGAGGCTTATTTCGAATAGTTTCTAGAACACTGCAGTCATACATCATTAATTTAAAAAGAGGACAAGATCTTATGGGATTCCAAGCATCATATTCTATGATGGAAAGAGATAACATTTTCTAGAGGTCTAACTTTTTTGTCTTGCGGTTGGTTCTTCTTTACTGTCATATGGTAACCAAGCCATGCATATTCTTAGCTATAAACAGGCACCATATAGTGCCCAGGTCATAGGTGGATTGAAGCCAACTGATGCCCTAAGCACAGGCCATTGTGGTATCCCTGGAAAAATGAGGCTCTCATTTCATGAGAGGGAAATAAATGTAATATTTGATAACAACTTCAAACCTATCTTTTAAATGTTAATTATTCACCATGCCAAAGAAAATGTTTTTCAACAGTGCACACTATAGCAAACAAAGACAATTAAAAAAAAAACTGAAGTCAGTTGTGGTAATGAAAGAATTAATGACACGGTGAGGGAAAACTCTGTGATACCCCCTAACCTTGCTGCCCTTAAGTCTATGTTTATTTTGCTTATGGTTAGTGTAGGACTGGTCCAAATAGAAATTCACTCTGCACTAGGATCATAACATTTCTTAATGCCTCCTAGATCTCTATGGGACTTAACATTCCAACTAACCAGAAAATTTCTTCTGAAAATTTCCCAACAAGTAAAATTCCATGGTCATTCCTTCAGCATACATTGGCAACATTTGGTTGCCAAGCTTTACTCAAGACATACTGATCAAGAAATCTAGAGTTCTGCAGTGTAGCCAGGTTACAGGTAACTTTTCCAGCCTGATTAGCATCAATTACAGTTTTGGGGACATCCTCAGAAATCTCCTTTGTTTGAGTCATGACACAATTCCAGATACCTGTGTTGCGAAGATAAGATTTTGATTGTGAAAGCCTTGAATTGTCCTTTAAATAAGATCTCTCACCTGACTATTCTCTCATTGACTGAAATACCAGATTCCAATATCCCCTTTAAATGTACTGATAATCCTAGAAGTTCACATATTTTTGCCACAGAAAAAGTTACTTTGGATCCTTTTCCTCAATAAATCAACAAATAAGCCTGATGTTTTTGACTCATTTGTTAAATTGGGTTTTCATTGTCTAACTTTAGGACTTGGGTGGAAAAGAGATAGTGTTTTTAGTCACATTTATGCAGAAACATTGAAAATACAAAAGGGCTCGCTGTCTTTTAAGCAGCAATGCAACACTTGGGGCTATACTTTAAATAAAGAAGTTTTATGCCCTTGAATAAAAAATATTGATCCAACTAATTATTACAAATACTGTACCATGCAGTATAAGTACTTCTCCATGTATTGGATCAGAACAACTGCCTCCATTGCCTCCCCACCAAAACAACAACAACAACAAAAAGCCCTGAATGGGCACATTTGATTCCTTAGTGCTACACAACCACCTCGATCTTTTTTGTTTTGGTGTCTTTAGGCAGGCGGGGGAAACGTTCCCATCGGTTGTCACGCAAGAATCGCGAATTATCCCTTGTGAGATGGCCGGCCGTCCCGGGGTCTCTAGATTAGCCCGAGGGCCCGTCTAACGGCGGAGCAGCAGTGGGGTCTGATCGCGCAGGAGCAATTGCCAAAACTCGGGATTTCCACAGCCGGCCCAAAAAGGGCCCCGGAGCGGAGCGAGCGCTGGGCAGGGCAGGGTTACGCGAAGGGATGCGAAGGAGGCGGGAAGGAACCTCTTCGCTTCTCCATCCTTGCCAGTTTCCAGCAGCGGAGCCAGGGCGAGCGGTTCTCTCGTACCGGGGACAGGCAGAGAGCCAGCGCAGGGAAGCACCGAGGGGAGGGGGGAGCAGGAAGGAGGTGGGGCCAGGGGCGGCCGGGGGCACCAAGCAAGTAAATAATAGCGCGGACGGAGCGGGCCTCCCGAGGCAGCCACCGGCGGTTAGTGGCTCCCTCCTTCGCTTCTCGCCTTGGGCCACAGCAGGCGGCGAAGCTTTCAGCCGGCCGGGCTCTGCCGACCGCTTGGCCAAAAGGACTGACTGAGCGTCCAGCTCGGAGCTGCGGAGGGACGTTGAGAAGTTTGGGAAGGAGAAGGAAAGCCGGGCCTCGACCCAGGGCGACGCGGACGCCCCGTTCTCTCCCCCACCCCCAACGCCGCCTTTCCTCCCCGTGCGAGGAGGCAGCGTTCCCTTTCAGGCAGGCGCTCCGCGGGGCAGCCGTCGAAAGGCGATACTGGGGGGCCGCGGCAGAGGGAGCCGTCGAGGCGCGGGGAGAGCTGGCGGAAGAGCATCCAGAGGGGAGCCCTCGGCTGTGGCGGCGGGCCCGGCGGGGATGGCGGCGGCGGCGGCGGTGGGGGGCATTACCACCTTTCCTGACGACGGAGGAGGCGGCGGCGGCAGCGGTGGCCCCTTCCCGCCTGGACACTTCAAGGACCCCAAGCGGCTGTACTGCAAAAACGGAGGCTTCTTCCTGAGGATTAACCCTGACGGCCGAGTGGACGGAGTCCGGGAAAAGAGCGACCCGCACAGTGAGTAGCAGCCTTCAGGCTTCGCCTCCGACCGAACGTGGCCCTCTTGGCAGCCGCCTTGCCGGTCCCCAGATTCCACGGACGGGGAATGCGCGGACCCTCGGGAGAGAGTTAATCAAGCGGCGGGAGGACTTACAAGCCCCTCCCTCTACACGCGCTTCAGACTACCTGTCTGTCGTCTGAAAAGTGCATTTTTGAAAGGCAACTGGAGGGTTTCCCCCCCCCCTTGAGTAGGGTTGCCAGGTCTGCTTCCAAAAAATAGCGGACAAACGGGGGGGGGGGTGTTAAGTAGTAAAAAAAGTAGACTGTACAGCTTTAGATTACGTACCATTTCATCATAAAGCTTTTGAATAAAAAAAAAATGTCCACTATTTTGTGAAAAAAAATAGTGAACATAATGTGAAAAAAGTGGACTGTCCACTCAAATAGTGGACACCTGGCAACCCTACCCTTGAGGAAGGAGAATGTTTTGTTTCTCATCCAAGGAACTTCATCAGTTGTGATGGCGTAGGGGGGAGGGGAGGGTGATGATGGAAGGACAGGTTCTGGACCCCTTGGCGGTGATGGTGGGGATGGAAGGATTGTATTTGTTTGCAGTCCTCTGATCCTTCAGCACTCTCTGTGACAGTCCATTCAGTCTCAGCTGTCAGTACCTGTCCTCCCACTCCCCCACGCCCCAAATCACAACTGATGAAGTTTCTTGGGTGAGAAACGAAATGTTTTGTTCTTCTTCCTCAAGGAATAAACCGTCCAGTTGCTTTTTGAAAAAGCACTTTTGAGACAACTATGACCAGGATGACTGAGAATCTCCATAGATATTTAGCTTTCTGTTGGCATTGCTTTCAATTATTTATTCGGTTTTTATTCAGTGTTGCAATACTCATGTCTCCCAGTTTTATCTAAAATTGGTCTAAGCTTTAGCAACCAATCCAAAACCAACTCCTTTCATTGCAGGCTATGCCTCCTTGATTAAAAATAAGGTATGGTAAATATATATTTAAACAAACTTTTAGTATATTTGGGCACAGAAGGTCCAGCCTTGTCCATTTGCTCCTACGGTATCTGCACCATAATCCTTTGTAGGTTTACCTAGGACAGAGGTAGGCAACTCGTGGACTTCAACTCCCAGAATTCCTGAGCCAGCATGGCTGGCTCAGGAATTCTGGGACTTGAAGTCCACGGGTCATAAAAGAGCCAAGGTTGCCTACCCCTGACCTAGGAGTAAGTCTTCAACACATTTAGAAGTCAGCAGGATTGTCACCTAAATCAATTTGATCCTTTCCTTCTGCCAGGGAGAATTGCCTGTGGAAAATTTAGCTGTTGCGTATCTCTGTGTGTGGCTTTATCGTGTATTTTATAAATAGTAAACACGTATGCAGTACTGTACAGCCTGTGTAAATGCATGAAGAGATGCAGCTTGTGCCATTCACACAGCATGCCACATTGTCCAACAGAATGCAGTGGTTCCTGATGCCTGCTAGCGTCTTCCTCACATTCCACTTTCATTTGTGCCCAATGAGAGTTGAGTTTGACATGGTGCTCTAAACTGTAATTAAAGTTCAGTTTTGGTTTAGTGCCCAGTGTAGGGCTACCAGATATCTGAACAGACAAAGGAGGACAAATGAGAAAAGAAGGCTACTCTGTTCAACTTTCTGGTCATCTGTGACAAGTACAGCAAAAAAATGCAAAAATGAATTTAGGCCTATGTATATATGAAATTACTTTTTCCAACATCAGTAAGACTGGTTTTTCCATCACAGTATTTATCCAACAAATCTTTATTTTCAAGAACATATGCTAGAGATAATATAATTGCTGATGACTTGTTTTTCAAATTTCACCATAGAAATGTATGATGAGTCATGTGATCTACATCCTACAGTGATCATAGATTTGAAGGAGCTGGTGCTGG